ATTAATTCTATATATAATTTTCGATCCCTCCTATGGCAGCTATATGATAGAGTTATCCGATTTTGATCAAATTTAATCCGAAATTCAGTAACAGTTAGAAAACGCCATCTTGAAGAATTCAAGTCGATCTGATGAAAAACAATAGAGTGAGAATTTTTTATTTCATTCTCTTGTATTGGAGCTATCCGATATAGTCGGCCGATCCGGCCCGTTCCGACATATATACTGCGTGCAACAACTACACAACTTTTGGGAAAGTTTCAGCACGATAGCTTTAAAACTGAGAGACTAGTTTGCGCGGAAACGGACAGACGGACAGACGGACAGACGGACAGACGGACAGACGGACAGACGGACAGACGGACAGACGTACATACATATTTCGATTCTGCTCGTGATGCTGATCAAGAATATATATACTTTATGGGGTCTGAGGTGTCTCCTTCACTGCGTTGCAAACTTCTGACTGAAATTATAATACCCTTTTGCTCTGCAAGGGTATAATTATGCTATTGTAATAAAATGGTTAAGGCGAAGCCGAAATCGCGCTGGCAATCGAATTAAACGGCCGATGGCCAAAAGGCAAACAAATTGCCGGGAAATCCCGGCACTGCGCATCGGGTTGCAAGTTAGTTTTCATCGATAGCGAATTTATTATGCAAAGCAGAAGCGGTGAAAGATCAAAGCGAAGCGATAGCAGATAACACGCTTGGCTGTCCGCTCGCCAGGCTCAGAATACACTTGGAACAATTAGGAGTCTTATGCAAAAATTGTATGTTAAGAAGTACTTGAGTAAGATTGGAGAATGATATATCACATAGTTAATATCGTATTTTATTCTTAATTGTTAATACTGTAGTTTATTCAATTTGTTGTAAGTATTTATATTTTCCAGCTATGAAAAATATATAAGTTTCTTTAGTGAAGTATATTCCCAGTGCACCATCTGCGGCTCGAGGATGCGGATGAGCCCCGCGATTGGAGTCCGACTAGGCAGGCGGCCCTTTTTGCCGCACAAATAGATTAGTTTCACATGGCCGTGGAGCTGGGGTTTGAGGGCGCCATAATGCACACAGAGGGCCGCCAGGCGCTGGCCGCCGCAGAAGTTATGAAAAATTAATAATAATGTCGAATCGATTGATTTCAGAGTGGGCCGGGGCCAGCACCACCGCAACCACCAGGGCAAGAGGCTAGCACCACCTAGACGGCTGGTCGTCGTCACCACCATCGTCGTCGTCGTCGTCGTCATCATCGTTGGCCGGGCTTTGAGGATTTGAGGATTGTCTTGGCCAAGTCCCAAGATCCAGGCGACCCCGGGGCGTCCGCTCAGGTATCTCGTTCTCGCTCTCTTTGGGTGTGTGTGGAACTGTAACTAAATAAGAGAAATGAGATGGCAGGAGGCCGAACAGAATACTAGTTACCCTGTACTTGCGATTTGAACCTATTACCTGTAAGGGTATAAAGTTCCACAAAACATTAGCTCATTCGAAAGTTTCTCAATCCCAAAATTAAATAATAAAAGCAGGTAAACAAGCTCCTCCTCACTTCATAAAAAACCTTTTTCTTATTATTAGTTTAAATTAATATTGGTATAAACTAAAGTTTTATTTTAAAGGTCATTTTATTGCAATAAGCTTTGAAATAATTTCAGTTGCGGTAAATAGACAACCAATTGTAAAACATACACTATACAGATTTCAAAAATTGATTCTTTGATTTAGGTATTCGAAATTGCCTTTTAATACCACAAGCTAGTATTAGCCACCTTTGTTTCACAAAACCAACAATCACCCCCAAGAGCTAAATATACCCTAACCCATCCGCATTGCCATAAAAAGTGAAATATTTTCTGTAAGCTCACTTAGCGCCTCGAGCCAAAGTCGTACATTTTCATCACCCGGCCGGGAACAGGATCAGTCGTCTGCCAGGCAAAGCCACAAAAAGCCAGACTCCGACTGCGGTTCGGTTCATAAGCCAAGTTGTGGCCAAGTTCTTACCAAGTTGTCGTCGCCGTCGTCTGACTGCAAACGTTTTATGGTCTGCGCCCTGGTCAAGTGATGCATTTTTCATGACCAGTTTGTACGATTTCCTTTCCGCAAACGCATCGAGCATTTTCATGTAATTCAATTCTGGATTTTCCCGCTTCGCTCCTTTTTTTATTTTCTTGTGGGCGCATTGGCCCGATGTGTTTACAATTCTATTGGCGCTGACTGGGATATTGGTTTCGAATCGGCTGTGGGGGATATTGAGGACCCAAGACACCGCTGCGTTAACATGAGTTGAGTCTAATGAAATACGACATTTGACTCGTGCTGGGGTCTCGCTTACGTTTTATAGGCGTGGGATTGCTCTCGGCCAAAACAATAAGGAACAACAAGGGAAGCCTCTAATGGAATTCAAGCAAAGTGGAGCAACCGTTGAGCAGAGAAAAAAAAATTTAATGAAATCTTATTACTCTGTTTCACTCCACTATGTTAATCAAGAGTATAACTTTTTTTAACAATAAAATATTATGCGAAAAATCAAAGGATTAAATCAAACATAGTATATTTACTATAAGATTGAACTAATATTTGTTAGCCAATTTTAAATAATTTCTTATCCAAAACCTACTTTATTTGGAACAATTATTCGAATATGTTTAAAGAAGCAGGGTAATTCCGATGTTACCGCTATTTCCACCAATTATATGGCCTGATCTAGCACCGATCGGTTAAATCAAAAGACTCGAACTCAGCGCGTGCCTGACTGACTGACTCCCTGACTTCCGCCAAGACGAGTGCCTGACCCAAAACCTTTCGATGCGGGATAGAACGTTCTGTTACCTTTTCCCCTAGTTAATATTCAAGCTGTCTTCCGATAGTCCCGACGTGTTTGAGTCACCCAAGAGTGCAACTGAATGACTCGTTCCTGAGCCACGCGACTGCCGAAAGTTCAAAGAGCGACCCGAAGGTCTTAACTACGACATGATGATATATACTTAACCCATTGGACAAATGACTCATCCTTGCTGGTTAGTAAGGCTGTTAAAATATCAATTTGTATTTTATGGTGAATATTTTACCTTTATTTATTTGAGTTCCCACAAAAATTAACATAACCATTCACCGAAATATTTGTATACATATGCTTTTATTGTTATGATTAACTTAAAATACATTTTTTTTTTCATACTTACTTTTCGACCGATGATTATTAAGTTCTCCTCTTTATATAATTTCCCACGAAAAAATGCACAGAAAATTCCATTAAATTTATTGCTTTGATTTTAACAATAAAATAATCAAAAATGTCAAAAAACTGTTCCCAATTTGGCCATCTTGGCAATTATTAAATTAATTTGTATGCAATTGCTTACCTCTTGCTGTCTTACACCTCTACAAATCGATTGGCCCGAAACTCTTTTGGCTAATCGAATATTCATTGCATATAACGCACGACTTGTTTATGTTTCGCTTCGTTAAATGGTAATTTCCTTTATGTTCCATAGCTGAAATTCTAAGCCACCAGGTAAGAAAGGCAAAAAAGAAAGACACGAGTCCTGTCCCCAAGTCATTGACAGCAATTTGATGTTAAGTATGTCTGCCCCAACCACAGAAGTCGTGATTTATTCGACTATTTAGGCCAGACCATTTCAATAAAATTAAAATTAAATTAAGAAACTTAATACCTTTAAAGAAATTTAAAGTTTTTTATAAATTTAATTTTTTGAAATTGCTGTACAGTTTATTAATTAATAATACATAATTATACCCATCAAAGTTTTGCAAAAGCGTATACCAATCGCTTTCAAAACACATTTTAGACAAATATAATCAACGTTCATTCCCATATTTAAGCCACAGTAATTTGGCTAATCGAATGCAATTAAAGCGGGGAAAGTCTACGACTTAGTCCCACAGATACTCTCTAACACACGCACATGACAAATGAGAAAAAAGGAAATATCGGCTTAAATCAGATTGCGATTGGCTCGCACAGTTTAGCCGCCTTTTCTGTTGACCACAAACTACGAAAGGCAAAACAAAGCAAAGCGAAAGAGGAAAAAACTTGTAAATAGTTTATAAACAAGCATTGCCACAGGTAACCAATCAACGATCACCTCAACACACACTCAATCTCAAGTATGTGTTAGCCAAATAAATGAGCAGAGTTGCCAGCATACCTTAAAGTTGGTTAAACTGTTACTAACGCTGGTTAATCTTCAACTTACCTAGAAATGTAATTATGTAAAATATTCACAGATTGTATCTGTATATCCCTGATGCGAGTCAAGTTTGGATTGTTTTATTACTGTATTTATCGGCCTTAATTGATTTATGGCTAATTTGAATAGATTTACAGCTGAGTGGGCAACAAAAACCGGCAAGAGTTTTGCACTTGTGTGAGTGAGTGTTTATTTGTTGTTGGTGTGCAAAGAGGCGTCTACAAAATGATCGCTTCGTTGCTTGTATTGGTCAGTTGGCCAAATAGGTGAGAGTGTGTGTTGGCTTGTTTGTGGGTAGCGGAGCGTAATCAATACAGGTACACTTAGCGAAATAATAAGGTAATTTCGTTTTGAGTTTATTCCAAGAAATAAATAATAATAATAATGATAAATTAAATAGTTTCTGCTCCTTTAAAATTATTAATCAAACCCAAACTACTAAAAACGCAGATTTTAAATCTATAAAAACATGAACTGGCTTCTTAACCATCATCTATGGAACTTTAAAATATAATTTTATTTACATTTTTATTTTATGTTCAGCTATTTCTACATCTACATCTAAGCCCTTTTTGAATTTAGAATCTTTTCTTATAGTTCACTGGTTTCTTATACCATTTTTGGACAGTGTCTGATCGGCAACCTCATTGGGCGAGCACTCCGCTCAGCACCAACACACGGGCACTTCTAAACAGGGACTTGCAGAGCCCGGCTTTGGATGTTGGCCAGCTCGGCAGACGGCTGAAACTGAACGAAAGCCACCTTACCTGTTTCGAAATCAAGTTTGCCGCTTCTGTGTCGCTCCGGTGATCCGCACAGAAAGGTGCACGCGCGCATTCAACACGGTTGTGTGCCCCGATCCGAGGTTCTTGTGTGATTTTGTGGATTTATACGATCGGAAACGGAACGGATTTGCTCGAGCCCCAGAGCTTAGGTGCTGGGCCGCAAAGCCGTCGGTATTTTATTGTATTGTGATCGCAAATCGCCTTCGCCCCATCTTTTTGTCAAGCTTAAAAGCTTAAGTTATTACCTACCGCGACATGTTGTGCGTCATTTGACCGATTTGATTTGCTAATTCTAGCCAAGTTTTTCTCGAAAAGAAACCGCATAAATCTTGATTTAATCAAAGTGTTGAATATGCAATGATTCCCTGAATACCTATGCAAAGAATAGGCAATAATCAAAGCAAATAGTGTGCAATAGAAACCCCACTTTGGATCTAATAATATAAGTAAATAGTTCTTCCACATACCTAAGTAAATAAAGCAAATACAAGTTATTGATCAAGTGTCAAACATTGTGGCTGATCGAAGTAAATTATGAAGTAACCGTTTATGCCAAATACTATTGGAGCTAGCTCTATAACCAAATGGATATCGCAAATTGAATCTTTCGAGCAGAGAGGTAAGTTGCGATCAAGGTCTGCCTTCTGCCTTCCCCCACCCGCACCCAAATCGTAATTTACCAATTTCATTATTAACTTTGATAGAAATCAAACAACAAAATACTTAAAAAGCGAGCAAAACCAAAGCCGTAACCCCAAAAAAGTCAAATAAAAATCAAAACACAGGCAAAGTCGCGTACAAAGAGATATATCTGTGGAGTTCTTCATTTCATTCAATGACTTTTGGTGGTCCCTATTCAAACAACTCTAAACAAATTCAAGCATCGACTCGATGACACTCCAAACGTCAACTCGAACAAATTTTTTATCTCAGTCGTCTCTCTGCTTGTTTCCCTCCGCGGTGATAAGTTCACTTGACAATGAGTTGCAGCAAAGACCCAAAAAGCCAGGCCAAAACGCCAGCCGCGCAGACGGTAGTGAATACTCGAGATGGAAATTTGAAATTCACTTAACAAAACTAATTTCAATTGTTGCACTTTTCGGCTGGGAGAAGTAGAACCCAGAAGAGATTTTCGAGATTTTTCTTGGCGCCATCCCAAGTGGCCTGGAAATGTGCCGTATTTGCTTTTGGCTTTAAGGAAAGTGATAGTGGGAAGGTTCGGTCTTCGGAGCGGAAAAGTAGATAAACTTAAAAGAAATTTTAAAATAATATGTGGGTCACTGCATTGAGTACATACACGAAAAATGTAGACTTATAATTTATAAAACAAAAATAAATGTATTACCTGTTTAATAAACTTAAAAGGAGACCATTAAAATCTTATATTTTTGAAAATCATAAATATCAAATAAGCCTCTTTTGTACATAACAGCATCTTTTAAAGGTTTATTTTTGTATGCAATTAAATTTGATTGATACAAATTTGTTGCTTCACATCATTTAAATTTCACTTTTAAAGAAACATTTAAAAGCCTCAACCTCTTCTCGGAAAGTTAAAGCATTAATTGATTGATCATTATTTGAGTCTTAACGAGTTTCAAATATGATCAACACAGATCCTAACGCAACGAGTGTTTAGTATTTGTGTTGTAAGACATTTCATTAACCCCTAGTTACTTATCCGCCATCGAAGACCGAAAAGCAAAGCAAATGCTATAAATCATTTCCAACTCCTTATGCAATCGAGGTGCCCAAAAAAAAAAAAAAAAACATCAAAAGCGCCAACTCATTGGAGGGCATTGGGGATACTCCGAACAGAGCATAGCAATTGTTCAAATAGGCAATAACAATACAAATCAGTTCCTTCAAAATACGGCTTTTTGTGCCGCAGACAATTCAAACAATATATTGAACTATTTCCAGCGGATGAAAAAAACAAACCTAATCAACAATTGTTGTTTCATTTCATTAGCAAAACGAAAAGCTCGAGTCTGCAGACTTTCATTAGATCTACATATTGATTGATATTATCATTATTTCCCATTGTGATTGCCCTAAGATTTTGCCCAAATAACCGTGACAATCCGAGATTCAATGACGAAAACAGCCTTGTCATATCTTGCTTTTAGAATTGTGTTTAAATATTTGCAAACGTGCGATCGACGAAATGTATGCGGATAATAAACGTGGCCTAGACAAGGTGACGGCTTCGACCACGCCCAGCCACGCCCTCCAGCAGCAGCAACACCCCCACCAGCAGCAGCAGCAGCAACATCTGCAACATGTCCTGCAACTGCAGCAGCAGCAACAGCAACAGCAGCAACACCTACAACAGCAGCAGCAGCATCACTTGCAACACCAGATGCATACGCATCATAACTTCCAGCAACATGAAACGCCAGCAACACTGTCGCAACAGCAGCATATGCAGCAGCAGCAACAGGCTACACAGCAGCAACACACGGCGCAGCAGCAACATGCGACACAGCAGCAACAGCAACAGACAGCCGGCATGTTTACAAGGTAAGTTCTTAGCGCCAACATCCTGGCTTATCTCCATTTTCACACAGCCACGCATCACAAACCGGGCCAACATGCAAACTTTTAATTTCAATTTGTTTCGCACGCTTCGATATTTGTCAATTCGGATTTGAAATACGAGGCCAAGTTCGCATTTGGCGGCAGCGAAACTCCTTTCGGCCTATTCGCTCCTCGGGCCAAGATTCAGGCCCAGACTCCTTTCAATTTCTTCGTCGATGTTTTCCCCCGGTTCCTGCTGGATTTTCACTGCTTTTGTTTTTCAGTTAGTTGTTCTTGGACAGCTGCACTGCAGAAAAAACCTTAGATGTTTTTCAATATCAACATGTTTCCTGCATTGTATATTAAATAGAAACTAGTAACAGATAGAGAAAATATTTTTTGGGAGATAGAACATTGTGTATCCATTCCTCAGTTTCTCCAAGTGTACTGATGCTGCTGCTCCTGCTGCCGGTTTTAATGGCCTCTTGTATTGGCAACTTGTAGTTCGCAGTTATCTGGCCCTCGTAATCTCTCCGGTCGGTCTGCGTACCCCCAACGCCAATTCGCGAGGAGCTGAAAAACGCGCAAAATTCACTCCCGGCTCAACCGCAACGGAGATGCTGTGCCATTTTATTTAGCTCCAATTAATTAGTGCTTCAAATGTTTTGCCATAAGTTAAACCCGCACAGTGCGATTGACATTACCACGTTGGCAATCGGACGTCCACGAAGACGACGATGGGGCTCCAAAAAAGGCGTCTCCATGGCAGAGAAAAAAAGGCGCAGAAAGCCCGGGAATCGACGACAAAGTCGAGGAGATGCCAGTAAAGTTAGCCACATCTCCTGGCTGCCGTTGCTTCTGAAATGTGTAAAACTCACGTGTGATGTTGTTGATGGCTCGTTCTTTGTCTGCTGAGATTTTCCAGCTCTTTTTCTTGGCCTTCTTGCTGGGGGGAATATCCTGCCTTTGTGTGGGAGATTCTTGGGTAGGTGTTGCCCTGATCTTGCACTTTTTTCCTCTACTTTTGGGTGGGTGTCATTTTCTGGCTCTTGCGGTTGCGGCATCCTCATAGAAATTAGAGCATTTTGTAGTAGCAGTTCAGATAGACCATTAAATAGTGGATAAGCCTTAGACAAAGTCAACTGGGCTTGAAATTTTCTATTGACATTTTCATCTATCGTATCATAGCATTTTTGCAAACCATTAGCGTACAAATAAAATTGCTAAAATATATATTGTGAAGACAATAACTTCTTAAAATAAAAATGAACTAATGGCAATCTCTGTTACTGCCTTAATTCAGTTCATTCATCTGAATTTTACGGGATCCATGAAACTATCAATTAGCATGTGGCATTGTTGGAATTCCCAGCCATCGAACTATCGAAAATTAAACCTCAAACTTTTTACTCCACTCCAAAAAAAGTTCATTGTTCGCGCGCCGAAGCACGCGCTTCTGCACACTCACAGATACAGATTGTAATATTCGTGGTAGGTATAGTAAAATCGGTCGGATTTCTATAAATATTTTCCATGCTCGAACGAGAAGTGCCAACAACACGCCTCGCACTGAAACAAACAACCGTTAAACAACGAAAACTATATCAATATGCTCTAAATAATAAATGACACTAATTAAACCGAAGAAAACCTGGCGTTTGTTGTTTTTAACACATCCAGCCGTAGAGTCAACATACCTGGCACCACTCGAGCCACCACAAAAGTCGAAGAAAAGGTGAAGGAAGCCGAGGAAAAGTCAGTTTCAGATTCAGAGTCAAAGCCAAGGAGTACACAGAAAAAAACTAGCTCACTTACAACAAAGTATTTTAAGGATAAGCACTTGATACAATAATAATTCTGTTATTTTTGATATAAAACGAAATATATCAATTTGGATGCAATAAAAGATTCTAGCAAATGTAAAAAAAAATATATTGTTTTTTCTGTGTACTTTGGTGAGCCTCCAAAGAAGTGCATTTATCGGTTGCTTCCTGAGTGAAACTAACCGAAACCGTTGCGTACGGATTCTGTTTGAGTTTGAGTTTGTATTTGCTTTCGGGCCTGCGCCGTTGGTGTTAATTTTGGTAATTAGCATGCCGCGGACACTCGGCTAAGATACAATTTCGTTCGGGTATCTGTAACACTGCACGGGGCTCTTTGCTTTGGAAGCAATTTTATGCTGCTAATTTCATTAACACATTTCACGAGAAAAGCGATCAGCCGAGCGGAGTAAGCTATTTACCCAACTCGGCAATCGCTGCAGTAAATGCTGCACTAGATCTCGCTGTAACCGATGCACTGCAAAATAGTTACTTTCTTACCTAAACTTAAAATGAATTTTGTATTTCACTTGTATTTAAACTCTTTAAATAGAAGGATTTTTTTAATGTCTCAATATGTTTCAAATGGGTTTACTGGTTGCCATTTTCTTTTTAAAATTGTGTTTATTTTTTCTACAGTGCTACTGTTCATTTTAATTTCCGTTATTCAAACTTGAATAGATTTTCCCGGAATTGGTTGATTTTCTTTCAGTGGCCGACTTCCGCTTCCATCTAATTTCTTCGATCAATATTTGATGACGCGCGTCAAACCGATTTCGGAATTCCTCGCTATAACCGAGAGTTATCTGCGGAATCCGAAACTGAATCCGAATCCGTTCCGAACCGAAATGTTGAGCAAATAAGTGAGCCACCTCCGCCGCAGGTTTAGTTCGGAGATCGATGAAGTTGCCCCGGGGCTTACCAAATTATTTAGTTGCGGCATCCCTGTGCTAATTGCCTGACGGTAAAGTGCAACGGCAGCAAACCATCAATCCCGAGAGTCCCAGGCCGATGAGCCATTCCATACCGAACCGTACCGTACCATAGTTGGGGTAATTTCTGGCCAAGCCACCGCCGGGCACAAAAGTATACAGAAGCCAGGGACCGAGATCCAAGAACCAAGTCATGGGAAAATTTCCGTACACACACAATTTGGGGCTTGGCTTACGGGCGGAGGAAGAAAAAACTCAGTTTCGCACGCAAATTAAGATAATCGAAAGCAAATGCAGCAACGGTAGCCGCTCTCCATGGTTAGGCTCAGCTCAAAAACAAAAAAAAAAAAAAAAAAAAACAAAAAAGTCTGAAAAAAAAAAAAAAAACAAGAAGAAAATCAGCAAAAAGAAACGGGTTTAGTACCCGGTAGCAACAAATCATAAAAATATGAAAAATTATGCGGCGGCGTCGGAGGAGATGGAGATTCGCAGCAACTTGCATCGGCCGCAAATGACGATGTCCAAGAGCCAATCATCGAAGTGTGCTTTTGGCAGTCCATCATTAAATTGTGGCTAAGATTCCAATCAAACATACAAGAGCAGCGAACGCCAGACGGTAGCAGCTTGATTTCATTTCTTCTGAGGCAATGAAATCTCAGCTGCGGTCTGTGGTTTATTTTCGGTGCGGTTTTGGTATCTCCACTTCAGTGGTACAGAGCGGTGCAGGATGGTCTCGTGGTGGTGGTGGTGATGGCGTGGTCCGCTGGTGTGGCTCGCATTTTTGAAATATATGCGTCAAAATAAACACAGTAGCTGCCCGCCAGACTTCTTTATGAGCTTTTGAGAGCAGTAAATTATATGGCTGCGATTTACGGACCCACAAACTCGTAAGTTAGCTAATTGATTGAGTTAATTGAAGGATGGCTTCAGGATATAGATTTCGAACTTTTGCTGCAGGCTGAAGAGGATTAATAGGATAGATTTTGGGTTTAATTAACCTCCTTTTTTTTTAATGAATATTTCTCTAAAAGTAACCATTATCCTCCTTATAATATTAAAATAGGCAAAGTATAAATTCACTCTTAAAGAGTTTCGTTTCGCAACAACTTTTAGGTCACAGTCTTTTAGCAACAATTTAAGCATAGGCCTGGCTTCATAACACTTAACGCTCACCTGAGGCAACTTTTACCTATGGCCCCCCATATAATTTGGCTAAAGGCCGCTGAGCTCCCCATGGTTATTAGATGGCCAACATTTTGCGCTGCCTTTTTTGTCGAGCTCTTATTTTTTTCTGTGCTAAACGTCGCCCCGATGCTAATCTGTAGGTGTGCGTTGGAAAGAAAGAAAAAAGGTATCGATTACTGCCACCGACTTACGCAGAACACAATGCGGCACCCGCGAAGTCCTGCAGACAAAACAAGTGTTTGCGGCAGCAAAAAATTCCAAGAAATCCTCGAAACCTCGAAAAATGGAAAGCATTGTGCGGCGCCTGGGCAATTAATTTGCCAGGAACCCCAAACACGGTGTGGGTTCAGGCCAGGTTTAGGGTTACCCGAAGCTCCGGCTTGTGAGTCTTTGGGCCCCGGAGAACTGCCCATCAGTTTGAGAGGTCTGGCATTCATTATACGCCGTTTTGCACTATTTTTTGTGTTGCGGCCAGAGATGCAGAAATTCGAAAGGGCGGGGCGGAGCGGAGCGGCCAGAAATCATTAGAGCTGCCCGCAAGCCCAATAGCCTGGCCGAACTATATCGTGGGAATATGGCAAATAAACTCGCCCAAATTACACACACACACACACACACACAGCGCTAGAAAGGAGAAAGGGGATCGCGGGGGGTGGGAGTTATCTAGTCTGCGACCAGACAATTCGCACAAGTCAAGTCAGCAGACGCGATGAGAAGAAAAGGGAAGAGAAGAGAAGACAAGACGCTCCAGGAAAAAGTGCAATAAAAATTTGCGCAAATTTCGTGTTTCTCTTGGCCTGCAATTGGTATTGACTGACTGACTGGCTCTGGGACTCGATGGTCTGCGAGTGGACTGGGCCGAGATCCTCCAACCCGACTGACGCCCCTGATGCATATTAAAACTCGGCTTTGGATTGATACCTGCACAGAAAAAAAAGTGCATTGATCATTAAAATAAGTAGGAGGATGTTCAAGAGAACAAAACTGCTAATATGTTATTAAATTTCATTATGTGTTAATATTTAACTTATTTTGTTGGTTCTTAAACCAAATACTTAACCTGAATATTTTATGACAGCTGTAAAATCAGTTTAAGATGCTATGATTATAATGAACACAAAAATACGAAAAATATTTCAGGATCTGAATTTATTGAAACTCTAAAAACTCGTGGATAAAGTACTTCTTTTTAAAGTTCTATCCATATTGGCAATAATTTTTCTCAGTGCAGCCCTAGCGGGTGGAGTTCAGTTGGGGTGAGTTGGGGAGTTCAGTGGTCTTGTGATTTATTCGCTGCCCACATTTTTACGATGGCGCTTTGAGGGCCGGGGCCCACCATAAAAATCAGTCGGAAAACGAAGGATTTCAGTCAGGCCCATAGATGCGCATTTAAAATCCATTTAAGTTAATAGTTTGGCATTATGTTACCCGGGCGGTTTATGTGCTAATTAGTGAGGGATGGCGATTGGCATTGAGATCACTCGATTCACTCGGAATCGAAGGAATCTCAGCCAACAAGATTTGTGCCTAATTTCTGTGGAGCACGTTAAGTTGCCATCGCCAGGACGGTGTGTGTTTATCTAGTCGAGGGTCGAGCTGTGAGTTCTGTGCTCTGAGCTCTGAGGGCCAGAAGGACCCGAGGAGCTGGACCAGACTTGATTAAGATCTCTTCCACTGCGCCAGAGGATCCCCAGTCGCAGATTAAGCATGTGGCTCCAGGTTGCCAGCCCCACCAACACAGTGGCCACTGGCTGGATGATCCCACAACGCCTCGCTAAGAATCGTGTTTATGCTTTTAATTAGCAACAACAACTTGTACAGTAGTTGCCACAACGGCGAACGGCCAACAAGTTGGTGCTACTTAGTGCAGATTTCAAGGTAGCGATAGATATATTAAGAAATGTTGACATGTCTCGCTCACTCAGATAAATTTTGATGTAGATTACAGCTGCAGCCGGGGTTCTCCACGTTCTCCACCCGCTACAGCTTTATATATATATATCTGATATATCTCAGCCTGCCCATTAACACGTTTTTCGGATTTTTATTTTCCTTACATTTTTTTATTTCGGCCATGCATTACGAAAGGCTGATGGCATTATCATATTATCGCCTGCGACACTGGCATCTTGTTTATGATAAATATTTGAGAAACTTATTAATTATGCCACAAATAGCCAGCCAGATAGCAGATCGCAGAAGCCTTTGACATTTTTAAGTAGCTAATTGGGAGAGGAACGTTCCCAGCTTAAACGTGTGGGAGGATCGAGTGACCAAACTTGGACCTCACCAGATATAAATCAAGAGTAGTAACAGCTAGCTGGGAATTTAATATACCCACCGAAAAACCTTAGATAGCTTAAAAGCTGGTAGACCCTTCACCAAATCCCACACAGGCGCCCTGCTGAAAGCTAAACAAATATGTCAGCCTGACCACAAGCGACTTGCAATCGCAATCGCAGCGTTTAAATCAATATTCGTTTTAATTGTACAAATCACCTTGACTTAAATGCGCGCCAGCCAGCGAGTGAGTGAGTGTGAGCCACTCGACCACTCAATTTCGATTCTGGGCCCGAGCTAAATCTGTTCTATTACGGCCAAGTGGTCAAGAGTGAATAGGCCTTATGCATGAATATATTTCAAAGCCAGAAGGCGAACGAAGCGTTCGATTCGGCCTCAGATTCAGATTCTGTTTCTGTTACTGTGTTGTCTTATTTCTTTTTATTTTTATTGCATGCCTCTGAAGCGGTTGCATGCAACTCAGAGTCGCAGTCACACGGACGCAGTGAGATTGTTTTAAATGTTAACATGGCCATTTAGAGGCAATAACAGCGGCAAAATGGCAGACAGTCGAACGAGGAAAGCCAAAAAGGCGCGGGCACTTGCTGTTATTACAACAATATTACCAATATTTATCATAAAGGCTTGCAAAATAATCGGCAACAACAACAATGGACGGGCGAAACGTCAGCATAAATAAAAAATACTCATACGCCGCATGCGCCGCCGACGCCGCTGCATAAAAAGACAAATTTATGATTTATGATTTCAACCTTGTAAATAATATGCTCACAAAAGTACACACGGACAGCTTCGCTAAACGCTTGTGCCGCTTGCCCAAAACCAGCAACAACAACAACAATCGCAATGCTGCGCAGTGGAGTGGAGCGCTGACCAACCTACTTGCACAATTTTTCCGCACAAGGCATGTGGCAAGTGTGCCCCACATCAACCACCGCCAGAAACCACCGGCAAACCACCGCGAGCCGAACCACCGCACCACCGCCGAACCACAGCCACATACCGCTGGCCGTATGATTTTTAAATGCGCGATGAGTTATTTATGCATCGGGCATCGCGCCGTGGTTTCTGCGAGCCATCCTTAACCCATTGTGGTCATCGGATCAAGAGGCAAATAAATACTGATTAAATAAGACAAAAAAAATATATTACCTTATTAAATTAAAGGGTTTTTAGGTTTTTAAGCGTTTGCAACAATCCAAAAATTTACAATCTATAACTACATAATTACATTCCTTCCTCCTTTAAATTAGAGACTTTATTTGGTTTTTGTAAGGGTTTACAAAAGCTGAATTCTACAGTTCAACTAAACAGCTAATAAAACTCAAACGACTAGCTCGCAAAGTTTATATTTTGTTTAATTTGTAATCAATTATAATGTGCCACTTAAAATAGCTACTCAATTACCACAAAAAAATTACTGGCCATATTGTAACCGCTTAATTAAAATAATAACATAAGCTATGTGGCTTTTTAACAACCACGTTTTCAGCAGTATTCTATTCACATTGGAAAATGCCAAGCTGCTTATGTTTCTAACTTTTAAGTTGAAAACAAAGATAAAATGTGGGTGTTGGTACAACTTGTGCCATAAAAATCGAATAAAGTTGGTAGCAATAGGTGGAATTCCTTCGGCAATTCCCAAATGACACAGCACGCCTCGTAATGGGTTAATAAGCCCAAGAGAGACACACTTGGAAAGGAAAAACACACCCGAGAAGGCGGCTGTGAAAACACATGCATCGCCTGGCGGCTAGTTTTGTTTTGTATGTTGCATTCGGACTTGCAGGCAGTTATTAAGCCGTAGCTGTGAACGAGACCATATATTCTAATTGTTTAACCATATCCATATCCACTTGCCCGTTGCAGATTCGATGCCAACAAGTCGACGAAGGGCGCCTCGAAGATGCGACGCGATCTCATAAATGCGGAGATAGCCAATCTGAGGGATCTCCTGCCGCTGCCCCAATCGACGCGCCAGCGCCTCTCGCAACTGCAGCTGATGGCTCTGGTCTGTGTCTATGTGCGGAAAGCCAACTACTTCAAACAAGGTGAGTTGGTACTCTGGCCCCCATCCATATACACATACGGATATAACCATACATATATATACATATATGCATGCTGATAATTGGCTGCACGCTGATTGAATATGCATGAGTCATGAGCAGATGGAGATTGCGGCTGTGATTGTGACTCTGCGCAGCCGCGAAGATTGAGACTGCCGAGTGCAGGACCCACCGCCGCTGCACTTTAATAAACGTTCTTGCCAAAAACCTTACCAAAAATCAGCCATCACAATGAGTACCTGTAAATTCGAGTCGTAGGAATTTGGTTAGCACATTAACACTTTTTTACACGTTTTCATATGATTTTAATTTGCGAATAGGTTCGGTTTGCACAAATCAATTTATGTGGGCGTTATGTGTGTTTAATAAATAAAACCAATGAGTCCTCTGAGATTAAAGAAACTTAAATTGAAAAGAGTTCAAAAGCGTTTGGAAATAGAGAGATTCTTCAGCTGTTTATTCAAGAAATCGTTGCAAAGCCATTGATTTAGTTTATTGTTTACAAATTCCAAACAGTAAAACCCTCTTTTTTGGCAAAGTGTACCTCTGGCTTTCGTTTAAGCTGGAATGAAAAACCGCTAGGCGCATGGCTTCGCTTCAGTTTAAACCAACATCATTCATATGTCGAGTGTCCCTCTATCATGCCCCCAAAAGCCGGGCTGAAATTGTTTTTGGCCAAGTAATTGCCGCAGCGTCTAGGCACGCACCCAGTTCCAGGCGGGCCGAAATTGCTGGGGGCCCCTCGGATCCAGGGGATCCATCGGATCGGTCCCCAATCCCCAGAGGTCCCATCCTCCTTTAATGCGCATGCGCGCAGGTCAACGCGCAACCGAACAAGATCGTTCGCTCTTTACTTACCTATTTGCGCTGCTATTTTTTCTTTTCGTTGTTTTTGTTTCTGTTTTTTTTTAGTTTTTTTTGTGGATAATTACGAAAATTGTTTTTCAAATTAGCGTTGTGCGGTACATAGGCCCATAGATAAAACACCAGACTGGGGAACTCTTAACTCTCGGCTCGCATCTGAGTGCGCAGACAGAAACGTAGGAAAAACTGGAGGAAACCCATGTGAAACTGTTGCAGATCCGTGGAATACCAGCATCCCAGGCGCACTATCTCAACCACCAACTCCTCCAACAGCAAAGTACAAACTGCAAACTGCAAGCTGCGAGTCTTGCGAGGCAATTTCACAATTGCAATGGTAACAACGAGCGTCTGCCTGGCATTGCTATAAATATTGCGATAAATCAAAATGTGCGATTTATGTGTTCTACAAATTGCAAAAAATTAAACTTAAGTACTGCTCTCTTCTCCATCCATCTCGCTCCTCTGCACATTGCCACAAGTGTGAGAAATAGTCGGCGTTTTGTGGGCCTCCTATCTTTCGGTTATTTGGGTGTGCTTTCCTTATTGTTATTGCTTTTGCTGCTGCTGCTGTTGCTTTTGTTGCTGTTACTGTTGCTGTTGTTGTTGTTCATTGTCATTGCACCGTTTAAAAGCATTTATAATCACAAATTGTGTTAATATTGGCACGCCATCGAAATCGCTTTGTATCTCTTTGAAGCTCCAAGTTCAATGGATTCGTTTGCTCTCCGTCTGTGTTTGTAGATATGTGGGTGGGTGTGGCTGGCGAGATAGTCGCGATTAATGAAATACATATTTATAAAACGAAATTGAGTTTTCAATACAATGCGATTCTTTCCGTTTTCAGCTCGTATGCAAGATCTTGAGCCCGGCGGCTTGGATCAGATCGAAGACCGTATAATTGGCAAGCATTTAGTATTGTCGTGTTTGCTAGCGAATCTCACAGAAAAGGCAAAAACCTGTGAAGTGGTCACAGATTAAAAATAGTTTCCGATTGTAGTTCAAGGTGTTTAATTCATTCATTTTTACATTTTGATGAGCATCGATAAAATATTACCATTTCATTTACAATGCAAAGAAACTAACTCTTTGCAAAATGGCAATTATCATTATCAGTATTAGTTAATCAAGCTCCAACTCCTCACCTTCTGGCTTAAAATGTATATTATTCATTAGAATTCTGTGTATTACTTTCATTTGAGATGTGTTTAGCCAGAGCGCTAATAAAATCACCAACATTCCCTTGCCCTTGTGCATTGTAGCAAAGTGGAAAAGCATTGAGCTGACTGACACTCCCCTTTTATTTTTATTTTGGCTGAATCAGGTACGCTGACGACAGACTTCTTGGCAAAACGGATTTCTGAGTATTTTGCCCGGATAGTGGATAATATTAAAGGCCCAGCGAAAATCTGACTGCATTCATGGCCTTTCCGTTCAAGTTCAATGAAATTACCAGTTGCGGTTGCTGCTGTTGCAGTTGCTGCTGCAGTTGTTGCTGCTGTTGCCGTGGTGATTGTGGCCTGATGCTGATTTTGTGGCTGTTTCTCTTCGGTTTTTTGTTTTGTTTGCCAGGTGCGGGAGTATCTCGTAGTGTTTTAAAAATAATTGATCTTGATGCTGCCTGCATTGCAGCTGCAAACCAGCAATTGCACTCAGCGATCGCAGCCTGATGTTGCTGTTGCCACTATCATTGTTGTTGCTGCTGCTGCTGCTGATGCTGATGTTGCTGTTGTTGCAGTTGCTCTTAGTGACAATGACACATTTTCTTTTTGTGATTCACTTGTTTTTTTGTTTTCGCTAGGCGGCAAACATCGTTGCTCATTGTATGTAGAATATAATCAATGAATTAACAATCAATGGCATCTAACAACCGCCGTCGCAAAGTGAGAGAGGTTCCGAGTCTATTATTAACAGATAGTTTTTTAATTAGCCAGGCTTTTGCATACAAATAACCGGCCTGGGAAAATACTCATATCCACTTATTGGATATTTCCCCCTAATTTACACGGATCTCTTGATCGGCAGGGCGCGCCTGCGCAAGACACAAAAGGTCAATTAACTTAATTAGCACTATTTTCAAGAATCTGTTTTCTGTACTTTCCTCATTGCAGTTTTCGAGCGGCACAATGCGATGCATCATCTTCATCACCAGACAGCAACACCAAATATTGGCTTCTCAAAGGTAAGAATAAATATAAGAAATGCCGGCTTGGGCTTCCATAGAAATATTCCTTACAATTCATATTCAATCAGAGCGTAATTAGGAATCCGATTGCCGGATCTGCGTTCATTTACCATATAACCTCGGCAATTTTCCATTGCGATGACATTTCGATTAGGCTCCCGGGGAACCGAGAGAAACAACTCAATTTAAGCCAGCGCGGTGACAACTCAACCGAAAGTTCCCGGGAAAACAACTCTATTAATGGCACAAAAGCTGGCCATATCATAAGTCAGAAATCGTTTTGCTCGCCGCCACTTGCTGCGCCAAAAGCGAGAAGAGGAAATCAGCCAAAAGCCAGCGGGCCAAACAATAAATGCCTGCCCGGGAAAAGCCAGAGATTTACAGGAGCAGCCACCAGAAGACCGAAGCCAGAAGACAGAAGACCGAAGACAGTAGTCAGTCAAGCTGCCTGGCACTGACTGCTCCAGTCGGTTGAGATTGATCTACATACCTGTGCACACTCGTGACTGAATTAAATACTATAACCACGGTACTACTCATACACCCCCTTTTCGGATCTCTCTTCGCAGACTTTTTTTTTGCGAGTTGTCAACGTGGGCTTTGGCCGGGCTTTTGGGCTAACAATTTATTAGTGCTCAGACGCGAAAATGAATTTGCATTTCCAACACAAGATTCAATTTATGCTCTTTCAACTAGAGGGTGTTAAAAAAGAAGTAGCTCAAAGTCATGGTAGGCCGTTTAAATTACACGCCCTCTATCAACAAAATAACAATTATTAAAGAGCCAAGTCAAGTTTATTCAAACAAGGTATTAAAAAGAGATTAGCAATATAGTTTTTATTTGTTATGTAAAGTTTAAATATAAAGTTTATTTTAAGAACATATTGCAACACACACAATCACCCTGTATTCTAACTCGTATTTGTTTTGCAGGCACTCTCCGGCTTTTTGATGATGCTCACACAAAATGGCAAATTGCTCTATATATCGGATAATGCGGCCGAGTACTTGGGCCATTCCATGGTAAGAGGATTTTCTCGGACTTTGCGAAAGTTGCGGATTGCTTGGGCTGGTTTTCTGTTTCGGGGGCCGAAATTGTTACAACGTTGATACAAATCTCTGACAAGCGACAACAGGCAAACGACGATGCCTGTCGTCGTCAGAGCATGTCATAGTCTCCTAACAGCAGCAGCAACATAAGCACAGCAGCAGCAGCAGCAACATCAGCATTGCAGCAGCAACAGCAACTGCAACAGCAACATATTTGTTGCACTTTTTGTGCTGTACTAGTTGCTGATGTTGTTGCTGCTCCCGTTGACAAGTTAGCAACTGTCTAAAGACCTAAACAGGCCCGATTCATTGAGCTTATATAAGTCCGTTGGTTCCTTAAAAACCTCAGCTCGATGTCGCTGTTGCCCCGTGTTTCAAGCTTTGTTTATTGCACGTTTATGCCGCTTAAATAGCAAGGTTATACATGTAGAAAAATATCTGTGCGAACGAGTATATATACCTTCATATGTACTTGGCCTTTCACTTTGCATTTGAGCCGGCCGACGGTTTAAATAAATCTAGCCGAACCGAGCACATGTGACATATCTCCGTTCTACATATAACTGCGCCGACATTGACAAAGGTACCCGAGATTAGTGGCCAGGTGATTGTCGGCTCCTCGAAGTCTTCGAATGCCGGTGCAACGGGGCGTATGTGCAATGTACGGGCCCCCACTAAGATTATGCCATAAATCAGAGCCTGGCCTGTGATCCCATGAATTGGGAGCTCGATCAGCTTCACGTATCAAAAGGAAACGCTCCACTTGTTCTCCGCGGCCAGACAACCTTTCATATCAACCAAATGTTGCACTTCCCCCGACCCAGTGAGTCAAAGAGCTAGACAAGAACAAGCCAACGGCAAGACAGGAGAGCCCAAAAAAGCTAGGAGAGGAGGAAAAAAAATAACAAGTAAGCCAATTGGCAACCATGACATTTGACAGCCTCTTGGCCTTTGTGCCGAGCCTTATCAGGAGTTCGGAGGAGTTCAGGGAGTGGAGAACTGGTGGGGAGACACCCACCGGCAGCCACTAAATGGTCAGTGAAGTTCATAAATTCACTCGTATCGTATGCCATGTGTTGGCATAATTACGGCCACAATAAAAACGGAATTGGTGTGCACATGGACAGGCCCAAAAGTGGCTTGCCCAACCTTTTAATTTGTGGCAAGGCTCGGAGTTAGTTAGCGGCGGTAAAAACTAAAAAAAAAAAACTGCAAAACGGCAGCGGCAGCAACAACTACTGGCCAAGTTAATTAACAAACTGCCAAAAATGTCAATAGATCTTGGCAACTTTGTGGTGGCTGCGGCTGCTGCGGTTGCTTTTACCATTGCCGATCTTGCTGCTGTTGTTGGGCATCATAATTCGAATTCGATTTTTGCATATTCCCATAACAAGTTGCCATTGTCATGTGTCATGTAGCGACAGTGGCCATAAATAAATTACAACCACATCGGCTTGCCATTATAAATTGGCCGATCGTTCGCCTGGTTGGCTTCGTTTAGATCGCTCTCTCCTTCGCTCGTCGGTGGCCATAATTGTCAACAATAATAAAAGCTCATGACATAAACGGCCAGCAGGCAATTGGCCACTAACATTGAAGCCTCACCAAACGCCGATGAGCATGCGAAACTCATCTGACACATCATTAACAAATTGCAGGGAGAGATGCTGACTAATTGGAAATAAATTTGAACGTTTTACACAGGATAAAATCAATAAAATAGGAATAAAATATAAAATAAAAACACTTACAAAATTATTTGCTTCTAAAAATCCATATTTGCTCACAAAAAGCTTCGTTTTTCCGGAAAAACGAGAACAATTTTAGTCAGAATCGGGAATGTCATACCTCGTTGAACTCGTAATAAAATTTCCTATCTATTGATGTACATAGTTAAAAATGTTAATTTTTGACCAATTTTTACAAAAATAAATGGAGGGGAACTTCTTACAAAAATTCGTAAATTTGACAAAAATATATTTTTTCGAATTCAGCTAAAAATCATGGGATTCGTTCGTTGAGGTTTCCAGATGTTCAAAATAGTGCTCCATTCAGCTACAGGTCTTATTTTGTCCAAGTTGCACCTAATAACTCATCCTAGGTGTATACTTTGAGTGTACTGTTCGTCGACAGTTGTTGAACCATAGCCAAATACCACTAGCCGATCTAGTGTAATGCCCAACTATTTGCCAACCAGTGTAATCCCTTGTTAACCATGTCTCCTCTCCCGTTCTTCTACAGGAGGATCTGCTGATACACGGTGACTCCGTTTACGATATCATTGACAAACAGGATCACGCAACCATCCAGGCCGAACTGAATAGGAACGTGCCGCCGCAGCCGGGTGGCTCGAGTCAGGCGAACAGCAGTGGTGCTGGCACCACCGGCGACTCAACGTCCACCAATGGCAGTGCCGGTGGTGCTGGTGGCGCCTCCAGTCTCGAGGGCGAGCATCGCATGTTCCTCTGTCGCATGAATGTTAGCCGCAATGCGCGACGGCAAATGCGTTTTGGCGATCAGAAGGTGAGTGTCAATACACTGGAAAGAAAAATTAGTAACAAATTTATGAATATATTTGTTTAATATTCAAATTAGTTGGGGTACTTTACACAGTTGTTCCAGCACCCTTTGATTTTAGTAATATAATAGCAGTATTTTATAATTTAAAGATTTTTTTAAACTAATAGCTGTTATTTATCTCTTCCACTGATGTTCTTAACAACTCATTTGAATGTAAATCAATTTAAAATTTTTTTCTGTGCATGCTTGCGTGGATGAGTAAGCGCGTGTAAGTCTCTGACAGGAATTGATGAATGAATCACCTGGGAAGCGTGTTGCGTGTAACACTTTACCGCACTGCAGGCTCCTCCGCTCCGCCGCTCAACATCGACATCTTGCTCTGGCATGAATTATGCATGAGGGCAGGGAAATGGAGATGGAGATGGAGTTTCGAGTTTGGAAGTGGTATTGGTACTGGTACTGGCACCATGCGTTTGAGCCGGCGGCCAACTGGTCATACATCTTGCCAACGAGCCGGGTTTCCTATAAGCTGACAAACGATGACAGTTGATGGGAAACGGGTGGGTGCTGCAGCCGCAGCCCACCTGGTTTTTTTCTTTGGTTTTTTTGCCTGCTCTGATTGGCCGCCTCTCGGCGAGATGATGATGTGAATAAAACGAGGCAGCCATATGAAGTTGTCTTCCCAGCCATCTCGGCCGCAGGTTGAACAAGACAAGACCAAATCTGTCAACGTGTTGAGCGACGCGTTGGCTGTGGCAGCAACTCTTTCCCGTTTTGGTCATGTATGTTGGATCTGCTGGATATGCTACTGTGCACCATGTGGTGGGCGGTCGCTTCACTTTTATTCATATCTCCGCCGATCCGAGCCGCGTCCATTTTTTTGTGGTGTGCCTCGCTTTTCGCAGATGTGCAGTGAGCAAAATTATGGAGATAAGGCCAGGTGTTGACAGTTGGCTAAAAATGTTTTTAATTAAGTTGACTGTTGGCAGTTTAATGAGGTGCAGGAAGTGCTGGCAACGAGATTTCTCAGCGCTTTCTGCGGATAAAGGTGTGAGAGGTTGACTTGGGTAAAAACAAACAAATCAAGGAAGCTGACATAATATAAGGGGTATTTTAAAAAAGTAAAAAAAACGCCTTGAAAAATGCCTTAAATTCTGTTAATCATTATCTAGCTTATAGCAAATCAGATTTTACGAAGCCGTAAAAGTTCTATAAAAATTAAAAATATTACAAAAACACAGAACACCACTGAATGTTGAAATAACAGACATTCGAAACCATTCTCTGCATTGCGCAGAACTTAAGTACCTAATCTAATCCATGGCACACTCGACGCTCTAGACCCACATGAACTGAACCGACGATAACCCGCCAGGTCGAGCTTAAAGCCCGGCTAAATGTAAGCACATTCACTCCCTGGCACTCGTTAATATGCAATAAAAATGGACCAATAAATAATTATGAATGAGGTCAGGCACAGTTCATAGCTAGTACCCAGTGAGCCAGACGGCCATACCCCATAGACAAAAGGCCCGAAAAAATCGGAAAATAAAAGCCAAGAGCCAGGGAAGCGGAGAAGAGACGGCGACAGCGCCGGCAGTGGCGCCTGGTCCCCAGTCTAAGGTCGTCTCATTTACCAAAAACCCGTGAGTAGAAAAACAAAACCCACAAACGACGACTGTCTGCGTCATCCGACGGGTTTTTGGGGGATCGGGAGGTTTTTTTTTTTTTTTTTTTTTGGTTTTGGTATCAGGATCGTCGGGCTGGCTGCATTTGCATTTAAGAAGAAGAAGCTGCGGCGGCGGAGGCCCATAAGCCTCGAAAATGCAATTGCAGTTGGGACGAAATAAATGCAGGCACGTTTTAATTGGGAGACAATGGCTCCGAGTCGCCGAGCCTGAGACTGCCTGGTGGGTTTCTGTGTGGAGGAGTTGGCATACAAACATTTCTGTGATTGCCTTTTTTAAATTATGGAATCAGAGTAAAATGTCTATGAGAGAGTGCGCCGGCATGCCGGTCCAAAAATGGCCATGGTACCTACTCTACCCTACTGGCTGCCCCACGTTGGGCGCCAATTTTCGTGGGAGCCGAAGCTGCAGTCGCAGAACAAGGGAAACAATCTCAGAGCAAAGAACAAAAGCTCAATGCGTTGCACATCTGTGTACTTGCAGGTTGTCCTCGTCCAGGGTCACTATTTGTCATTCCTGCCGCTCTGCAGTCGCAACGAGCCCGTCTTCTTGGCCACCTGCACTCCGATCGCCATGCCCGAAACCAGGGAGTGTGTGGTGCAAGGTGCCACGAACGTCTTCACCACCATCCACTCGATGGACATGAAAATAGCCCACATCGACAAGAAGTGAGTAGCGGCGATAAATGGAAATTGATAGTTAAAATTAGAGATAAACGATCTTTATGGTTATTTCATCGCTTTCAGTGGCGAGTTTCACTTGGGCTACGATAAGACCACGCTGCAGGGCACTTCCTGGTACAATCTCATCCACAGCGAAAATCTGAGAGAGGCGCAGAATAAACACAGACTAAGTAAGTATGAACATTATCGTTATTAAGCATCATAAGCAAGTTAATGTAAATGACGGTTTCATTATGACACTATGGCTTCTTTTAAAGTAGATAACACATTATTAAATATCAGCCTAAAGCAATAAAAGCGTTGGAAAGAAATATGCCTGCCATTAGTATTAAAAACATATTTAACTAATCGTTAATAAAGCTCATGATATTCAAATCAATTCAAAGCGAATAGACGCTGGTTAAACCTTTCTATTGAATGGATTTTTCCAACAAAATGTATTTAAATATATAAAACCTGCTTAACCACAAGTCTCTAAGAATCCAATAAAATCATTTTTTTTCCACAACACTTATATTTTTGTTGAACTAATGATATTGTCTTATAATTTACAAAAAACAGTTACGCAATCGGAACAGGATCGAAGTTGTATTCTTTTGGTGAGAATGCAAAGATCCAGTGGAGAATACACGTGGGTTCACGTAGTTTTACAGGTGCGAGATAGTCCCGATTCCACTCAACAACCTGTTATCGTTTGCACGAACCAAGTACTAAAGTAAGTAATTAAATTAAATTATTTTCTTAAATATAAAATAAATTATCTATAACCATATTATCAACTTAAAGAACCTTTTCTGTTATTATAAGATTTTTACCATAAGTGTTTCTTTATTTTCCCATTCTAGTGAGCGCGAGGCCTCGATCATGTTGGCCAACTCCTGGCTGTATCACTACTATACCGTCCAGTCGAAGATCCAGTTCGGAATGCCACTGGACAGTGGAATCCGTGTGCCTCCTGGAACTCCCTCCAGTGGATACTACAGTCCTCATGCCTCCCATCCGCCTTCCACTCCAGGTGGAGCCACGCCCACTTTGGGCATAACGAGTGGCTTTGGCAGCCATGCACACCACACACACCACTCGCACCACCCACACCACCACCATCATCACCACCATCCGGCGACCGCCTATCACCACCATCCGCACATGGGAACCTACGGCGGAGTCTATCACGCCGATTCAGCCATCGAACTCAAGGAGGATCAGCCGCTGTTCAGTTTTCAGGAACCGGTGGACTACAGCCAGGTTAATCCCTCCAATTCGACGAGTACCCCCAATCCGCCCACTTCCAAATCGGCCACGCCCCCGCCGCCCAAGAAGAGAGCTCGCAAGCTGGAACCACTCTACTTGCACGCGGAACGCTCTCCGGCGGCGGCGATTACTCCGGAACCCGATTGCTATGCCATCCACACTCATCCGGCAGCTGCATATGCCACCTCATCGGTGGCCAGTAGCGATGCCTCCGTTATATATGCCACCATAGTTCCCACGAGACCGAGGTTACCCAATAAAACACTGCCTCCCGATCCGGCGGACTTCATCGAACAGTGGAATCCCAGTCCTCCGTGGTCGGAATCGGCGCAGAAGGCTTCGCTGGATAGCTTTGGATCCTCCCACGAGCTGAGTCCCTGCATAACGACCACGCCCCCTACGCCCACTAGTGCCACGCCCCACCAAAGTGGCCTCGGCACCACGCAGGCCATTGGACCGGCGTTCAGTTTCGAGTGGATGTCGGATCCTTTGGTGCCGGTGGCCTATCAGCAGTGGCCGCCAACCGGTGACCACCACCAGCACCTTTCGCAGCACCTGAGCCAGAGTCAGAGCCACCAAAATCCCCTCCAGCAGCAGCAGCAACATCAGCAGCAGCAGCAGATTCTACTGGGCCAACAGCCACATCTGCACCACCAACATCAGCACTTAGCACTTCATCACGGAAGGGAGGAGCAGGAAGCGGCGGCGACGGCGGCAGCGGCGGCAGCGGCGGCAGTGGTCGTGGTGCCACCGATACCCATTTCGATACCGATACCGATACAGATGCCAGCGATGCCAGCGGCCACGGGCCATGGGGATGCCGGCGAACCGGTTGAGGATAGAGGTTAGTATTTAGTCTGTTTTTCACTGAAGATCTGGCACGATTTCCAAAAAACTGCGGCCAATTGGCACCCGATCGCTAAGTAATTAAGGCCGCCAAAACAAAGCGGAGAACTAGTAAAAGGCAGCTTAATTATTGATAAGCCATTTGCTTCCGCTAGCCACATGCCACGCTTATGCTAATGCCCCTCCGCCCTTCAAATCATGTCTCTTGCAGATCCCAAAAATTAGTGACCAGCAAAGCTCGGAAATACCCAGAGATCGGGGATCGGAGACTGGGGATTGGAGATCTTTCATGGCGGCCAGGTGATAATCACACTTAAATTAATTGCCACTTGTCATCTTAGCGCTTAAATTATTTTTACCTAACAAAGAAAACAAAAACGCAAGTGCTATAACACATTCGTTTCTCGATATAACAGCTAATTTAAGTGATTTCCACAAAGCCCTTTTGTTTTCCAATTCCAATTTTGTATGTGCAATCTTGAAAAGAACACTTAAAAATAAGTATGAGTCTATATGCATGAGAATAGCGCTTGGAAATTAGTTTCGCGATTGGCCCGCAAAATATTACAAACAGTAGCGAGAAATATCCAAGCCAAGCCAAGAGAGCTCTATTAGTGTTAACGTTTTTATTAGCGACATTTTTATGGCGCGCGCTTAAAGTTTACGATAATTCGTATTTCTGTACCATGTATTTGTAACTCCACAATTACACATATGCATCTACGTAGACTATTTAGGTTAATTATTTTATTTTATTTATTAAACGTTTATTTATACACATATTTATTGCTATGCTTTCGTATTTTGCTTATTGAATAAACAAACTTGTAAAGTATTTTCGTTTGAAGAAAATTCAAGAAGTTGTTTCTTTCTTTTGAGTGGGAATGAGGACTTTGTGACACAAGCACACAAAACTTTTAAGGAGATTGACTTGACCCAGATCCCAACACGTATCATAAATTAAGCTGAAATCTCAGCTGCGTTCCTTTTGATCAGTGATCATAAGTCGATTACCATAATGGCGAAAAGCGCGATGGGAAAATGTCATGATTTTCCTGGGTTCTCCATTAATGCCTTGCACTCTGAACCAGCAGCCGAATTCGAATCATTCGCTTTCGCCCAAAAACCAACCGACCGAATATCCCCCCAAAAAAAAGCACACACCAAATTCAAGCCCGAAAGCCACTCCCCACACCAATGCGCCAAGTTTGGGTAGCATTCATAGACATTTTCAATTTCGAAGTACTCGTACTGGGGGCACCACTTCATGGTGACGACGATGGAGCCGATGAAACCGATGAAGCCCCAATGAAACCCCAATGAAACCTCGGCGACGACGCAGAACAGACGCCAGACAGTTGGATTTCACACACAGCCCCACTCGAGAGCTCCCCAACGAGGAGGCTGGCTCCTTTTTTCGGCTGCTGCTGCTGCTGTTGCCGAGATCTTTTGGTGATATCCAACAAATATTGTAAGTAGAATGGCCAGCAAAATAACCAAAAAAAAAAAAAAAAAATCCAAAAAAGATACCAAAAACAAAGCAAACAAAAAGCCGAGAGAGCAGAGAAAAAACTAAGCTGAACGAAACGGAACGGAACGCTGACGATGTAGACGCCGCAGCTGGCGCGATTGAATGACTCCTCGTCGTCGTCCGTTGTCGGTTGTCTGAGATTACTGACTGCCTATGTGACTGGCGAGCTGGATCTCGAGGAAGGCACTCGCAGAAATATCTTTTCATAACCATTAAAATAAGTAACATTTTATCAAAATATCCCTAAATGTAATCAAAGCATAAGTCTTTAATAGAATATATACCTTTATGTTAAGCCTTTGGTTTTTTTTTTCGGGAACACAAAGTGAAGTAAAATTAATTTAAATAATTTATAAAAATTCTTGTTGATTTTTATCTGGGACGCACACAATTATTTCAACCAAAACATGTTTTTAAGTCAGCTGATGTTTAGCTCTTTAAATATTTATTTATTTTGAAGTAACATTTTCTCATTGAATTTTTAACAATATTTGACTACTTCTGCTTCCCGTAAAATCTCGCAATTTTGCTAGTAAATAATATTAGATAATTTAGTAGTGATTTCTCTCTGTGTGGCACTGAGTCCACAGATGGAGACCTGGGACTGGACGACGACGACACACTTACAGGCGACGACGTCGGCCAACAGCAGCATTCTCAGAAATATTGGTGTAGGTCACAGTCGCAGATAACATATAGTACTTGGGAAAGGGGGAAGGGAGGAGGATGGAGGAGGGGAGGAGAGAGGACTGTGTGTGCCGCAGTCCTGGCCTCATTGTATGCAAATGTGCCACGATCACCACCCGCCCAGGCCAATTCGATGATCCTCCCGTCCGATCCTCCCCAAATCCCGAACCCCAATCCCCCATCTTCAATCCCAAATCCATCGGCCACTACTGCTCTTCATGGGTGCCAGAATCGTTTTGTGTGCAAGTTACTCGCGTTTTCTGTATTTCTTTGTTGTTTTTTGTTTATTTTTTTACGATTTTTTTGAGTTGTGCGATTTTTGGCATTTTTGCATTTCCTTTGTCCTAGCCAGAAGAGATGCTTATGTAAGCCAGACTCCTGGCGAAGGCTGCAGGAGCAGCACGAGGACTGTTACATATTTCCCCTCAGCCCTTAATATTAGCCAACAGTCCAAATCACATAAAATCAGACTGATTGTGGCATCTCTTTAAACGAGTATTAAATGCTCTTTTTTAATTATTTAGAAATTAGACTTTAGTAGAAAATATAAATAAAATAAAATAAGAACAATATTAATAATAGTAGATATTTGTAAGATGTAAGCGATGATTTCAAAATGTATAACAATATTTAAACATATAAAAAAAGTATAGCTCTTATTCTAGATAAAATGAAATATGTATAATTTATTTATTCGGTTTGTTGATAGACTTTAATCGAAAGTGTATTTCAAAAAGTAAACAACGCAAAGAAATTTATAAATAAACGTCGACGACAATGGGAATGCTGGGCACCCAAAACCAAACATTTCAACAGGAACAACATGTAATTTTTGTACCGACCGACCTGCCCCTCCTCCTTCTCCTCCTCCTCCTCTTAAGGAGCCTCCCACAATCCTGGCCATATGCAATGCCTTGGCCGGGGTCACGACACTTTTTGTGGCAGCAGCAGCAGCCGCAGCAACAACAACCACAGTCGCAGCAGCAGCAGCAGCAACATAAACAGTCGCAGGAGCTCGGGAGACCGAGTCAAATAGTGGGAGAAGTATGGCAAAGAGTCCCTCCCGATGGCCCCAGGCTCTTGGCTTATTGTCTTGGCCAAAACAGTTGGCCCGGCTGGATGGCTTGGACATTTCGAAGACCCTGCAACTGAACCCGAACCCGAACCCAGGTCCAAACAGAAAACCCGAGGCGACTGCCTGGCGTCAAGAGAATGCGTCGAGCTTGTTGCCTTTTGGCTTTGATTTCGCATTGTGGAACTTTTCCTAGGAAAAAAATGTTACATGAAATTAATAAATAGGCAAATAAATGTTAAACAGCTGCTGTTTTGTACGTGTTCTGTTGCACGCGCACGGTAGCCATTGTGCTGCACACAGGGTGGTGCCCAGAGTGGTGCATTCTGCAGTGGTGGTGCTGCTGATTCTGGTGGCGATGATGTTGCCCCAGGCATTTGCATAACACCACGGCGAGCTGAAGGATTCCCGAGGCCCGATTTCTGTGGATCTTTCCCATGGCCCTAACCATTTACTTCCTGCAACTAAGCAGTTCCTCCGGGGGATTTCGGGCATTTTAGGGGCTTTCGCTCTGCCACTGCATGCCAAATCATTTTTATGCAGTTCACAGCAATTGCCATCGTAGCTAATGCCCCAGCTCTTAAAAGCCAAATATATTCCGCTACGCCCTCACCAAGAGCCATGCTTGCTAACCGAAACTAAAGAAAACTAATATCCAGCGAGGAGTGCAGACCATTAGGCAGTCTGCAAAATAAGTTTCAGGGCATATGGGTGGTATTTAACCTACAATAATAATAAAAGAGCAAGAAATTATTTTATATTTTATATAACATATTTATTAGAATACTCGTGTTAACTATACCATTTATTTTATGATGTTTGTAGTACCTGTTTCAACATAGCAATATCTAAACTTCCATTTACTCCGCTTAAAACAACTCACAACACACACTCTCCTTCGTTTGAATTTCAAATGTTTAGAGGCGGCTTTGGTGCTATATTAATATGTAAGCCACGCCAGAGCCAAACAGCAAACACAATAATTCGTCTATAATTTATACACAATTGTGGGTAAAATGTGTACGAGCATAATTTACACATAAACAAGCCAGAAATCCAGGCAACAGCGTCTAACACAGACACACACACACAAATGCAGTTAACAAGGTTTAGAAGGGGAAAACGAAGAAGCAGCAGTAGGAAAACCAGCTAGAAAATCAGAAGACGAGCCAGGTGACTGAGAAATTGATCAACGCTGTGGCGGGACATAAACTAAAAGCTTATTTAACATTAATTTCGCCACGAAAATCACAGAGCAATTTTAAACATCAGTTACATGGATTTCTTTGGGGTTTTCGGTTTTCCCGGGGGACTCGACGATCCGTTGGAAGCTCGCTACAGGCAACATGCGAGGCCCCAACTATTTCCCCGCCCCACACACCTGATCATCGGAGTCCCGTGTAATCTAAGCTGCCATTAAACAAAATACAAGAAAAAACTTACGAAAACATATGCTACATATTACCTCTGCGGGAAAGTGAGGTGTTCGGCAATGGGGCGAGGTGACGGAAGTAAAGAAGCGAGCTGCACCATGGGATGGATTCGAATTTATAGGATAATAAATATGACCAAAGATTTATAATAAATTCCATTTATGTTTAAGAGATATTTAAGACAGTATTAAGTTAGATGAAATGTTCTATTTGAAATAGAAGTAAAATGATGGGATATGAAATGTAATGATATTTAAATATTATTTATTATTTACTAAACCTCTTAGCAGGTATTTTTCTCAATTCTTAGTTTATCTTAAGTATAAAAGACCGTATTTAAGCAATCAAGAACCCTCAAAGTATTTGAGAATATGACCCATTGTCCAACGACCTGCCTTTCTGGTTGCAGTTCGGCTGTTTGGCAGAAAGCCTTTAGTGGGAGACCCGAGCATCTCTCCGCACTGAGCAATTGCACCTGCCTTGGCCAGATCTCCTCTTAGCCACTCCACTCTGCTCTGGTTTGGTTTTGGCCCGGCTTTCGACTGCGGCTGGGTTTCGGGACCGATCCAGTAGGATCGCTGTGGAGGATGGCAGGCGAGCGTACCCGGCAAGCGAGCCACAAAGATTTAGAGCGACATTAGAGCAGTCAATCCATCATGGCTGAACATTACCATAAATTACACAGAAATAATTGATTATTACGAGAAGACGGAGCCAAAAGACGGGGCAAACTTTTGCACATGCAACGGCTCCCACCGCAGCCTCTCTATTCGTAAGAGTTTGTGTGTGAGTGTGTGTGTGGATCCGCGTCCGTGTTAGCCATTACACTGGGCCAGACTTTGGCTGGGGATCTTTCGGTGCTCTACGCAGTTCGGCCAGCGAACCGATTTAGTTTAAATTACGCTGGGAAGATGCGCGGCGACCTGGTCAACGGAAAGGTAACTCCCCACTCAAGTCCTCCACTCAGTGGCAAATTAGCGAACCCAGCGAAGGCTGA